TCTAAATGCAGATATTTTTGAGTATATTTGGCCAACTTTACCACAGCTAAATAAAACAGAGATGTTGTGCCTAGAGAAGCTTATATATATATTAAAAAAAACAAATAATAATATATATGTTATACAGTATATATATATATATATATATATATATATATATATATATATATATATATATATATATATATATATATATATATATATATATATATATATATATACATATATACATATACATTATATATATCTTGGCTAAAGAGATTTCTGTACCAGGAAGACATGATGACAAAATTTTAATCTTAACTTCTTATAAATGTAACTCAATGTTTCTTAGAGGAGTCTGTACGAGTGATATTATAGGTGTGGTGAGTAAATTTAAGAGTAAAAAATCCATGGATTGTGACGGCCTTGATATGTCATTAACTAAAGAAGTTCTTCATAGTATCCTTCAGCCATTAACGTATATTTGTAACAAATCATTTCAAACTGGAATTTTTCCAGATAAAATGAAAACTGCCAAAGTGATCCCATTATATAAAAATGGAGATAAACAGGTTGTGTCAAATTATAGACCAGTATCTTTGCTGCCTACATTTTCAAAGATTCTTGAAAAACTATTTGAAAACAGACTAAATTCTTTTTTTGGAAAAATATGATTTATTGAATGACCATCAGTATGGGTTCAGAAGAAATCGCTCAACATCTCTATCAGTGATGGAATTTATTGAAAATATTGCAACAATTGTGGATAAAAAACAGATTGGAATAGGTGTGTTCATTGATTTACGCAAAGCCTTTGATACGATAGATCATTCTTTACTGTTACGGAAATGTGAAAGATTTGGTTTAAGAGGTGTTGTACAACTTTGGTTAAATAGTTACTTGGAAAGAAGGCTCCAATATGTGAGTATTAATAATATGAAATCTAAAGTTAGAAAAGTAACATGGAGTTCCGCAAGGATCGGTGTTGGGACATAAGCTATTTTTGCTTTATATAAATGACATTTGTACAGCTAGTGATATTTCTATTCTATATAAAACGAGAGATTTATTGCACAAGAGCTGCTTTTATTTACTGTATACTTCCCTTTGCTTGCCTTATATGAGCTATTGTGTGGAAATTTAGGGGAAAACATACAAAACATATCTGGATTCAATTTTTAAATTGCAAAAAAGAGCCATTAGAATAATAAATAAAGCTGGATATAGAAGAAGAAGAAGAAAATATCATTTCTATAGCGCCTCTCAAGATAAAAATCACGAGGCGCTTAAAGGGAGGGAGTCCACAAACCAATTTTTGTAGGATCAGCTATGTTAAAATTTAAGGACATTATGTATCTTAAAACTTTAGAAATGATGTATAGAGTGGTGAAAAAGAATGTTCCAATTTGTATTTTAAGTATGTTTAAACTAAGAGATGGAAAATATGATTTGAGGGGGTCTTATATATTTGAAATACCTAAAGTGAGAACTAATGCTAAGTATAGATGTGTGTCGGTTTTGGGAGTGGTTATGGAATGAACTTAGTGATGAACTGAAGATGTGTTATTCTTTGTCATTTTTCAAGAAAATTAAAACAAATAGCATCTTCCAAAGTTATATAAACTTAGTTTGATGTCTAACCTTGTGTTAATTTGATTTCTTGATTTGTCATTGATTTTTCTTTAAATGTTATGCATCTTATCTATCAGCCCTACTTTTTTTCTCTTGGTTAAGGATTTGATTATCTCTGTGGGAGATTATCTTTGTGTGTGTGTGAGGTTTAGCTATCTATCTATCATCTATCTATCTATCTATCTATCTATCTATCTATCTATCTATCTATCTATCTATCTATCTATCTATCTATCTATCTATCTATCTATCTATCTATCTATCTATCTATCTATCTATCATCTATCTATCTATCTATCTATCTATCTATCTATCTATCTATCTATCTATCTATCTATCTATCTATCTATCTATCTATCTATCTATCTATCATCTATCTATCTATCTATCTATCTATCTATCTATCTATCTATCTATCTATCTATCTATCTATCTATCTATCTATCTATCTATCTATCTATCTATCTATCTATCTATCTATCTATCTATCTATCTATCATCTATCTATCTATCTATCATCTATCTATCTATCTATCTATCTATCTATCTATCTATCTATCTATCTATCTATCTATCTATCATCTATCTATCATCTATCTATCATATATATGTATTATATATATATATATATATATATATATATATATATATATATATATATATATATATATATATAATAACATTCCTGAAGGTTCAATAAAACTAACACAACAGTCACCATCAGATGGTTAAAAAATAGATCTAGTGTTTCACAGATCTAATAATCATGTTGTGCTCACAGAATGTGAACATCAGCAGGAAGAGGGAGATCTGTCAGAGAAAATAGAGTCCCTATTCACATCACTGATCAGTATGTATAATTGGTTGAATCCTCCTAGAATGACCACTGACCTCCACAGACTAATTAACAGTTAATTCTCGCAAAGGTCAACAGTGTGTTGACCAAGGATGACGAGAGTAGCCACCATATGGCTGGAGATGCTCACAAGAAGTGCCTCTTCACTGCTCTTTTAATCTTTTGAGCTAATTGTGTCTCTTCCCCCCGGGGTCTTCTGGTGACTGTGAACAGAGCCAAGACCAGACCAAATGTGACCAAACTCTAATCCACTTAACTGCTTTCCACTTTATTTTTCCAATTACGATGGGGACTTGTTGTTTTAGGGCTGGAATATGCTGGTGTCAACATTCGTTTTGCTCTCCGAGCAAGATGGGATGTGCAGCATCTCCTTTGTTAGGTTCACATTTAAAATTAGGTCATTGTTCCCACACCATTCCACAAAGTGGTCCACCAGGTCTCTGTATTCAGTCTGTCCAGATCGGATATATCCAATGACTACAGCGTCATCTGCATATTTCTGCAGATGACAGGACAGGAGTAAAAAGGAGTGGTGAGATTACAGTTCCCTGTGGTACTCCTGCTGCTGTCAACCTGGTCAGATGCACTCCATAGTCTCACAAACTGAGGTCCGTTTGTCAGGTAGTCATCAGTCCAGGTGGTTGTGGAGGTGTCTACCTGAGTCTTCTGTATTTCATAACTTTATAAATTCAATTGAGGAATCAAAGAATGTGATCTTCACAGGCCTGTCTGCTTTGTCCAGATGACTGTGGATTTGTTATATAGTGGGCCTGTGATAGTGTACTAAACTCCAACCCCATGGCTGTGGGTTAGGGTTTCAAAATCTGAAGCAGTAAAACAGTTTAGCCCCAACAAGCCCCAACTGCAGCAATTATTATCACTTTTGTACTCCGTTTTAGCTGTTCCAGCTGTTTTCTGCAGCAAACTCTAAACCCCTCCAAACAAATATTCACTGTTAATATAGAAAACTAGATAATTATTTGATTAAATGCATACAACTATATGATTGTGTTTTTAAATCTGTTCTATACATACATACAATGTTATTTTGATATTGATGTGATAAATGATATTTTTACCACTGCTTTTATGTTGGAACTGTATGAAATTTTGCTGCCTCTTGGCCAGGACACCCTTGTAAAAAAGGTCACTTGGTTATGATGGTCACTTGGTTAAATAAAGGTTAAGTAAAAAATAAAAACTTAAATATTTTAATTTTTAAGGGAAATTCATGTATATTTTGTGACACTCCTAGATTTTCTGTAACATTTATTCACATTTTAAAATGTTCAACATTTCATTTTAGTGTGTTTTGTGTTTTACCAACCATCAAAATTTTACTTGTTAAAACTGGTGTTTTGTAGATCACACATTGAAGGGTTTTCCTGCATCAACAGCCTGTTTAAGGTCAAAGGTCAGATGTTCTCCTGCAGGATATTCTGATGGAGAGCAGAATTCCATCAATTACAACAAAGTGTTCCGGGTTCTGACGCAGCCCCGGCCCATAACACTTCCACCACCATGTCTAACTGCTGGTATGATGTTGCTTTTCTGAACTGTGCTAGTACTTTACACCAGTTATAACAACATGCACACACTTTCCAGAAAGTCCTCTTATTGATTTGTCAGTGTATCAAATACTTTCCTTAAAGTCCTGGAGATCGTCGAGCTGCTTTTTGGTGAGATGTGTGGAGGTAACAATAAACACGTTGTGTTTGTTAAGACAGAAAACAAAAATGCTGAGTGACACACAATTATCAGCTTTTTGGTTCATATTTGGACTTTTCACAAATGTGGGACATCAGAACCATGCTGTCCTCTTAAACCGCCGAACTGCGTGTGAAGAAATGGATTATGAAAAAGGGGTGGAAAACACACAAGTGTTTTAGTGTTTGAAGAGGACTGAGTCGTCGTGCAGCACATTCTCACACCCAAAGCGGCTAAAATTGATAAAGGGTGACAACAGAAGTGTTGGCTGAGCTCCATCCCTGAGAATCCAGATGTTCAGGAATGTTCTGTGGTGAGTTTTCTGATTTCAGAACCTCAAACTTTAACAGTTTAGCTAAATAAAATTTTATCGCATTATTTGAATGTTTCTCAAATCAGCTGCTGAGTGTGGTTGTCCTTGTAAATGTCTCTCATGTGATAATAAAGGTTCATTAATAATAAATAGGGGACTCCTATGAGCTGAATTCATGTTAACCACAACATCAGCCATTCCAAACCCCATTATTCTCTCTGTGACCTTTTTGTCTCTGACTGCTGGGGGGAAGTGGATGATCTCCACTTTGTCAAAGAAAAACGAAAAAAAAAACAAGGAAAATGAGAGTTAATGGGCACCTCCTCAGCAAACACTGGGAGTCATTATGAATGGGAAGCAATCACTCAGATCAAATATACAGCAGTGGGGAACCAGAGCTGGAAGTCAGACTCTAGGACTGGAAATACAAACAACAGAGGCTGGTAAATATATAATATATATAATAATGTCGTGTAATCATCCCTTTAAACGCAGACACTGAAGAGGAGTGTTGACTGATAAGGACAGAGGAGACACGAGGAGCAGGAGGAGGACTGCTCTAGAGTTACAGCTCCTAAAGGGTGGTCGAAGTTTTCCTTCGCTCTGGTTCTGATCCATGTCTGAGCAGCACCAGCGTTCTGGCAATGTGACTGATTGATCCAGTATGATGAACAGTAAAGATTAAGAGGATGACAAATGAGCACGCTGCTTACACAGCGCTTGGGGCTAATCCTCCACCCTCCACCCCTCGGGGCTCCCTTTTGAGGACCTGCTGCCTAAGAGGACACAGACAGTGACATACGGACTCGTGGAGGTCACACACCCTCGGCCCATCGTTACTCTACAATTCTCAACTAGAGCTCATGGCAGGAGCCCGACCCATCTGCATCTCCTCACTGCTGTAGCATCTGTCCACCAGAGACAAATTTATTTAGACTTTTCAAACTCAATAGTAGAAGACACACTTTTTCAGACTTTTTCAGAAAGAAATGATGGAAGACCACCTGTCGAAGATCCCCATGATGCCCTCTTCTTCTCCCACGGAGTCTTTTGTGAGTGGTGGGACAGAAGACTCCAGAGGAGGTAAGACCGCCACAGTCCAACGGCAGCAACAAGTGTCCACGAGGCCTAAACGAGAATGGAAAATAACAAAATCTACTCCTTAGCTTTTATTCTGGTTTTGTATTTCCATCCTCAAACATTCAAATCTGCAATAGAAAGACAAGATCACAATTGTCCACAAATATCTTGGCTTTAGGCCAGTTATTCACTATTATATTCTTGATTAAAGCAGAAATGGTTTGATTTTGTTACTTTTGAATAAACATGATTTAACAGATATGTTCAATTCTGCTGCTGATTTGAGATTTCTATCCCATGTTGTGTGTGTGTGTGTGTGTGTGTGTGTGTGTGTGTGTGTGTGTGTGTGTGTGTGTGTGTGTGTGTGTGTGCGCGTGCGTGTGTTTGACCCACAGCCAAGAGTCCGACACCGGGAAAAGCTCTGAGCCCGGCTCTGGTGTGCAAAGTGTGTGGAGACACCAGCAGCGGCAAACACTACGGCATCTACGCCTGCAACGGCTGCAGCGGTTTCTTCAAGAGGAGTGTGAGGAGGAGGCTCATTTACAGGTGAGACAAATCTCACCCCAAAGTAGCTACACCGGTCAACTTTACAGGTGCATCATGGGAAATAGAGGCAAATTATCAATGGAATTCTTATGCAAAATCCTGTGAGCTTATTATATTTACTACAATTACAGAAACATGATCTTTTATCCAAAAACAACTTTGATAATTTAATTATTGTAATATTATTCTAATATGAATAAACAAAAACCACCTCTGATGATTATTAAAGAACTTTCTGTGGTTTGTTTATGTCACATAAAAATATTCTTATCAGACCTAATAAACTAACGAAACTCTAATTTATATTAAATTGTGTCATGTTCTGTGGATTTCAGAAGATTTAATCCAAAATTTACAGAGGCTTCAGATTAGTATCTGCGAGTCCAGGCAAGATGATTAAAATGTACTTCCAGAAACTTAAATTAAAACTTTTTACATACATAAAACAATGAAAATAAATATCCGCTATTAACAGAAAAAAACTATATAAATATTTTGATGTATGTAAAAGTACATAATTGTGTGTTTAAAATAGATTCAATGTTATTTAAATATTTAGGTACATATATTTTTGTGATACTGAATTTTCATATTTTGAACTAATTTTAACTTTTAACGTTTTCTTATAAAGTATTTCCATCTAGACTCTGAGATGTTCTAACTTTGTGTTTTTGTTATGAATCAAATAGTTTTGGGTCTCTGAAAGGATGAGAAAAGGTTGTTAAGCAGGTTTGTTTGTGTGGATTGGGTTGTGGGTCGACAGGTGCCAGGCTGGGACCGGCATGTGTCCAGTGGACAAAGCCCATCGGAACCAGTGCCAGGCCTGCCGGCTGCGGAAGTGCCTGCAGGCGGGTATGAATAAGGACGGTGAGTCTTCAGCTGCGTTTCATGAGCCCTTCAGCTTGTTGTCTCTCCACCCTCTTCATCACTTCTCTTCTTCACCACGTGAAGCCGTACAGAACGAGAGGCAGCCTCGCAGCACAGCTCAAGTCCGTTTGGACTCCATCGATGTGGATCCTGAGAAAGAGCATCTGGCCACCACGCGCGAGCCGACCTCCTCCTCCTCCTCCTCCTCATCATCGTCCTCCTCCTCCAGTGGCTCTGCTGCCACGTGGCCCCACATTACCTCCTCCATGTCCATCACCTCCTCTGTGGCCCCCCAGCGCTGTGTCAGCCCCCAGAACAACCACCGCTTCATGGCCAGCTTGATGACAGCTGAGACCTGCGCCAAGCTGGAGCCCGAGGACGGTGAGGAGGTTCTATCCAGGAGAAATGTTCTGACTTGGGTTGTGATCCAGGCTCTTTAGACAGTTTGGAACCAGTTTGAAAGGATTTAATTCAGATGAAGTTTATGAGATTTTTTTTGTTCAAGAATCTAACAAAATGTAGATAAAAAAATAATTCAAATTTCTGCACCATTTTGTAGTAATTTAGCAGAACCTGGTCATTATTGTTCATACAGGACAAAAATATGATTTATTAAATATTTTGTTGCATTATTTTATCTTGTTATATTTTGCATTTTGTAAACGGTAAACTCTGCAAATGGTCATATGGGTGGTGACGGTTGGTTCTCATGCGAGTCTTTGATGCTGACCTCCTCTTTCCTGGTTCTAGTTGATGAAAACATCGACGTGACCAGCAATGAGCCAGAGAGGCCGTCCTCGGAGTACCACCTGGCGCTGTACCCGTCCAGTTCTGAGAACGTGTACGAGACCTCGGCCAGGCTGCTCTTCATGTCAGTGAAGTGGGCGAAAAATCTGCCAGTGTTTTCCAACCTGCCCTTCAGAGACCAGGTGAGACTGAACAAACCCAAACAGGAAGAGCCTGAAGAGCTATGCTGTACGGATTATTTTTGATAATATTTTTCTCTGAACTCTGAAAAAAATGTTCCCAAAGCAGGTCCCAACAGGATGCGTTAGACATTTTTTAATGAAGGAATCCATTTTCTCATCTGTCCTCCAGGTGATCCTGCTGGAGGAGGCATGGAGCGAGCTCTTCCTGCTCTGTGCCATCCAGTGGTCTCTGCCTTTGGACAGCTGTCCTCTGCTCTCCTTGCCAGACCTTTGTCCCGGCATGCAGGGCAAAACCAGTTACACCAGCCTGGACCTGCGCCTCCTGCAGGAGGTCTTCAGCCGCTTCAAGGCCCTGGCTGTGGATCCCACTGAGTTTGCCTGCCTCAAGGCCATTGTGCTCTTCAAGCCTGGTAATAAATGAAACAAATGTCGTTGTGGAAAAATATGAAAGAAATTAAGTGTCACTGTTTGTTACCATCAACAAGTCTTCAGATAGGTTTGAAATATTTCTGGTAATAAGAAACTTCCATAAAGAGACCAGCAGGTGCAGTGAGTGAGGAAGAACAGGGTACAACATTACCCTCTAGTGGAGAGAAGAGGACAAGCATGTCCAAAAATTGTAAATAAATGAAGAGATTCACATAAACAAACAATTAATTTTTACTGTTCTGTGTTGTGTTTATGCTGCCATAGTTTTATGACATCACTGAGTAACTAGAGATGATATCTTATATTTTTACAAGCGGCAGCACTCATGATTATTAACCACCTGGACAGTTCAGCCGAGAGCTGAAATATTTATTACATGACGGTTGATTTAGAATATGCAATATATGTTATATATATTACCAATAGTCAAATATTAATTCAAAATAATTGAAAATGTAATCAAAGTTATTGTCAAGGGCTTTTATTGTTTTTATGGCAATATTTCTGGGATGGTCGTAACAGTGGAGCTCACTGGTTTCCTTTCTCACACAGAGACTCGAGGTCTGAAGGACCCAGAACAAGTGGAGAACCTCCAGGATCAGTCTCAGGTCATGCTGGGTCAACACATCCGCTCACACTATCCGGGTCAGCCCGCCAGGTAACGTCCTCTTAAACAAGAGTCAACCTGCACCATTAAGTAGGATTATTTAGTGACAGTTTAAAAATTACTATCTTGTATTTAAAATTATATGGTCTTCTTTCAAGGGCTTTTAATTTTTTTTATGTAATGGTTTCAATAACTTTCTATTAAAACTTTCAGTTTTGACCACTAGATGGTGCCAAATTCGTAAACAGCGATACAATAAACAGATTTAGTTTTTTTAATTAACTATTTTTACTGAGATGAATTCAGTTGTGGACTTCAGTGACAGAGCACACATTAATTTAACTCTATTATTTTTAATTATAATTTAGACTTTTAAAATGGATCCTAAAGCGTTATTATTAAATGTAGCTGTGTTTTGAAACGGGGTCAAAGCCTGTGATAATTACAGCTAATTTCTTGCATCTTTTCTGATTTGCTGTTATCCTTTAGATTTGGGAAGCTGCTGCTTCTCCTCCCCTCCCTCCGTTTTGTGAACTCTGAGCGGATAGAGCTGCTGTTCTTCCACAGGACCATCGGGAACACTCCAATGGAGAAGCTGCTGTGTGACATGTTCAAAAACTAAACCAGAAAAGTGTACAGACTCCTCAGCCATCCTGGACATGGGATGATATTTTGTAAATACATAACAGATATTCTGCATTTTTGTAAAAGCCACTTTATTGTTTGTTGCTTCCAGAGAAACCATCATCATCCTCGCTGACAGTTTGTGTCATTTAGATGTTGATTTGTGACCCAGGTTCCTCCCATAGCCTTGTTTTTGTGTATCTGTTGGAGGATAGATGGATTTTGTCCTCCTCCTGTTGTTAATGTGACTCACATGTTCATGTTGTCATGCCTTGATAAAATTAAAACGGCTCAAATGTGTTTAGTCTCTTCATTTCATCATACTGAAATTATGTTCACTGGAAAAACTAGCACACACACACACACACACACACACACACACACACACACACACACACACACACACACACACACACACACACACACACACACACACACACACACAGACTGTAACTATCCTTACTGCCGTGTATGAGTCTGATGTTCCCATTACTGCAGATGCATTCAGTTAAAAGCTTGTTAGATTCTTTTCATGGACTCACTCCTGTCCAGTTTTAGCATAATAAACGTCTCATTCTGTATTTGAAGACATGCTCGTTGTTGTTTTGGTTTGTAGATCCAGTCACGACAACCCAGCTGTCATTCTCTTTCCCCCTCCGATAATAAAATGACAAAAGTTTGATGTTTAAATTCTACGAAAACATAAAAATACATTTGTACTTCAGTCATTGTCAGATTTTCATGGTAACTTATTAAAAGCACAATAATAAAAAATAACATAGATGTTCTCCCTACAAAAAAAACTCATAAACTTTATTATCTAGGGGGAAATAAACTATTTTATTGGTATTTTACATTTAACTTATCTCAGTTAATTTACCAAAGTAGTTTAAAAGTGATTTTCCTTTGAAGATAGTTAGTTTTTAGCATTTGCTTTGACCTGCTGAATGAAACTCTGTTTTTATCATCATCACCTCCTGCAAATGTGTTAACCATTTCTCATTTATTTGATACATTTTCCACACCTTCTGCAAAACAGTTACCACTGAAGTCATTCAAACTGCCCAAACCCTGTTGTTTTAGCTTTGGTAACCAAACCGGAACTGCTGGAAACACCATGCATCAGTATGAAACCCCTGAAGCAGCAGATTGAACCTCCTTCCCACAGATCTTACCGTAAACACCGTCGTATCTTCACATGAAGTTACTTCCTGCTTCAAATGAGATGCAAACTCAGAGCCAGTGACTGAGGGGACAGCAGGTGGACTGTAGCTAAATGTTGTTGTGATAAGAGACGTCCATCAGCATTACTTACCCTTTAGCACCAATCAGATAAACACGGCGAGGAGCAGAGCCGATTCCTGCTGCCTTCAAAAGAAACATCAAGGACTTTTTTACTCTCTTCAGTTAAATAATGTGTTGCAAAGTTCTGATGGAGGTTTTAATTCAAGTTTAAGCTTTACTCTGACTTGTTTTCTGATTTTTCATAAGAGTTAAACACGTTTGTGTTTAACACTTTGTGTGAGTGTTTGGACATCCAAACAGCCAAAAGTCTAAAAACCAAATTCTGGGCTCAGCCCAAATGAGTGGATCCAGACTGAAAATTCACCCGTAGCTGAAACCGTAACTCACATGTCTGTGGTCTAAATGTGGCCTTTGATAAGCTTGTTTCAAACAAAGGTTCCCTTTGTGTAAATAAGAGATTTTTCATCTTATTATGGGATTAGTCTCTTGAGCAACAGGCAAAGGTAAGCAAAAATGTTGCAGCACAGAACTGTTACCAAACCTCAACGAGGAGCCAAACAACATGGACTCTGAATGAGCTATCCATTTTCTCTTAACACCTTGAATTAAATCTGAAGATAAAAAAGTTGACTTGTTATTAAATGAAGAAACAACAAAGGAGTCTTCATGATTAGATGGAAGGTTTCAGCTTTTCCACAGATCAGTATCAAACATGCAAACAAAAGCAGATAACCTGCTATATGTGTTATCAAACCTTTCTATTGGACAATATGTGTTTTAGTGCATTTGAGTAAACTAACCCTAACCTGCTGTAATTCAGAGTCAATCATGCTGACTGATACAGATTATGCAAGAATCTATCTACTTGTTCCTTTAAGTAAACACAGGTGAAACGAATGTAAGTCATAATCTGAAGAACCACATTAAACCAGTGTGCCCTCCGGTTACAGGCTGCAGTGTTATAAGATATACTTCAGATCATCTCCCCATTCCTGTTGATTAAAGGTGTAGTGGAGGATCTTGTTCTTTCGGGTGGATCATCTGAACCATCGGTCCTTATAACTGTCAATCATTCTGGTGAAGCTTTCATACGGCCGTCGTCGTTCGTGCTCGTTCCTGGGCTAGTTTTCACTTCTGCTTATGTGCAGGGCGATAGCCTTCATTCCTCGCCATTCTCACCAGGTTCTTTGAAAATGGCTGAGAGTCGCAAGAGAACAAGTGTCTTTGAAGTCTACAATAAGAAGAGAAAGGCCTCTGTGAGAAATTCGACCAGTGCTTTAAGGAGACTCTTTTCAAACTTGGCATGCACTTAAAGCGAAGGTTGGGCTCCCTGCAAACGCCTCTGTTGCCGGATTTCTGCTCGACAGGTAAGCTGAAGTTTGGCATGCTATTCGGAGAAAACCATTTTAGATTACTGATAGAAGAAGTGCTGCAAGGCCAGCAGCTCCAAACTGAGCGTGCATTATTTCAAAACGTGGAGAGGCCGGTTCATTCCTGAAATTCAGAAACATCCTCCGTCACATTTTTAATGTTCTTCTCCTGCTGCTGTATGTTCAGATATTTGCTCTTCTTCTTGAATTTAGTTCACATGAGGAGACAGGACATCTTTACTGGATCCCGCATGTTTTAGCTGATTAAAGGTGTGACTGAGAAAACGATGACAAAAAAGCTCTTGAACAAGACTTTTCCCCTCTTCGTCCTTTGGTTGGTGTGACTTTGAACCCTGCCCTCCCCTCCTGTGCCGTTGCTAATCCTCTGAGCTCTTGGTTGGATCAGAATGTGTCAGAACCTTTTGGACCAGACCCTCGGAAACACCAGCTGATCATTGAGAGTTGTTTCTTCTGAATCTTGTTCTTGTTTCTGCCGTTTGACTCAACATAACAGCCACAATGAATCAGAGCAAGGTTGACTTTGAGCCTTTCCAGTATTCCTACTATGATTATTCAGACTGGAACGCCAACCCAGAGCCAACCCAACCACATAAAGAGTAAGTATGCAGACCTGAGCCAAAGGAGTCCGGCTGGGGTCCGGTACATGTTCAGATGATTGTATTTTAAATGTAATTGTCTTTTTGTCTCAGAGTTATTTTACCATGTGACCCAACAGCAGGTGACAAGCTCTTCCACACATGCATGTTATCCATATCCGTAAGTATCCTCATGCAAGAACACGAAGACTTCTTTATTCACGTGTCTTCCAGGGAGCGAAACATTTGGGAGAATCATTGAAAACTTTAAAAAGCATTTTATAGATTTTCCTTCTGTGACAGTTGTCTTTTAGAAGTTCCCCCGTTTAGTGATGTCTGTTGTTCTTCTGACTTTAAGGCAATTACAACTAAAAACTGCAGAAACTTGGTCGGAAATCTTGCACACAGGACAGATGTGACCCGCTTTCATCTGCTTCTGAACAGAGATGAGACCGAGTGACCTGAAAAAAGATTTAACAAGCATCTTTAAAAGAGACGTCCCAGAGTCATAACTTACTTTAGATTAACGCTGCACATTCTTATAGATCCTGTCAGTTCCTGTCAGCGACGAACTGAAATGATCTTGTTATGGCGTGTAATGTGGAAACTTTTTCAGTAAAACTACATAAAAGCTGATTTGACATGATGTTCAAGGGAACATTTTTGAGAACAAATATCTGACTGGACAGTTTCTCTTCAACATTTTTATTGTTTGTAAAACAAAATGTGTGTTTTTAATTTAACTGGCCCTTATTTTGTAAAAACTCAATAAAAATAATTAGCACAACAAACTAAGGTTTTTCTAAAATATTTTGAGGACCTAACTTTACCTAAAACATAAGCAAACAGATGTTTGACTTTCACGCTAATTTATATTTTATCCCCAGATGCTTTCAGCATATTTATTATGATTGTTGAATTTGTCCTGAGATGACCATTGTCTACATCAGAGAACCTTTAAATGGCGGCCCGCAGGCCACATCAGACCTTTTAAATGACGTAAGAATAAATGATGATGCACAGAAAGTGACTCTACTGAATTGAAGCGCTGCCTTTGACACAGTGGACCACAACATTCTTTTAACGCGGTTAAAACACATCGGTCTCTCTGGTGCTGTCCATAAATGGTTTACTTTGTATCTCACAGACAGGACTTTTATGGTAAGTCTAGATACCTTCTGTTCTAAGACCCGTCAGATTACATGTGGTGTGCCCCAGGGTTCGATTTTAGGCCCAGTGCTTTTTAATCTGTATGTACTTCCACTTCGTGGCTTCATCGGGCGGCACAGACTGCAATTTCACAGTTATGCAGATGATACACAGTTGTACATCTCTGTGTCTCCCGATGACGCACGACCATCGGATGCCCTTTTTAATTGCATTTCGGATATTGAATCCTGGATGGCAGAAAACTTTCTCCAGCTTAACCGGGACAAAACCGAAATTGTAGTCATCGGTCCTGAGACCCAGAGAGAGAAACTTTTACCAAAGCTAAAGTCACTAACTCTTAATTCGTCTTCTCAAGTGAAGAATCTGGGTTTGATTTTTGACTCTGAGCTAACTTTTATCCCCCACATTAAGAACATTACAAAAATAGTTTTTGATCACCTGAAAAACATCGCCAGAATCCGCTCCTTTCTCTCTCTGGCCGATACAGAGACGCTGATACACGTTTTTATCACCAGTAGAATTGATTACTGTAATGTCCTGCTTTCTGGTCTTCCCAACTCCTGCAAAATTCAGCACCTCGTGTCCTGACAAAGACCAGGAGGCAGGAGCACATTACACCTGTCTTAAACACGCTGCATTGGCTTCCTATACGTTTCAGGATTGATTTTAAGGTTCTTTTAATGGTTTGTAAATGTTTTAATGGTCTTGGACCTTATTATCTCTCAGAACTGCTTCATAAATATGAGCCTTCGCGGTCCCTGCGCTCCTCTGGCAGTCATCTCCTCGTCATTCCAAAAGTCAGGACACACTCCCAAGGCGAGGCATCCTTCCGGTTTTATGGCCCTCACCTCTGGAACAGTCTGCCAGAGGACCTCAGGGCCATAGAGAGTGTTCTTGTTTTTAAGGCCAGGCTCAAGACTCACCTTTGTAATATAGCTTTTAATTGATTTTGATTTATTTTAGCTTGTTTTACCATCTTTATATACATTTTATCAGTGTTTTATTACTTACTCTTTTAACTGAATGACACATATTTTCTCATATATTAATTTTAACTTGTAATAATTATTAGTTTTAACCAGTATTAATAATATGTTGTAGAATATTTTTGTATATTTAATTAAATGTTTCTACTTGGTTATCTGTTATCAGTGTGCTTTATTTAGATTTTTATTTATCAGCTGTTTGCGTTTCATTTGTTTCTTAACTTGTTATCTTAGTTTCATTAGTAAACCAGTGTTTCCTCTGTGGGGGCTGGCTGACCCGGGGGGCAGCGGGGGGCTGTGGCGGCCGGGGTGCTTCTCGTGCCTCCTCTTGCCCAGGCTACTGCTGCCGATCATGTTGCTCCCGATGCAGTTGGCTCCTTTGATGGTGTTTCCATCTATTTTGTGCATATTACATCTGCACTCAGCCAGCTGCCCTTTCTCTTTTACGTGTGTGTGTGTGTGTGTGTGTGTGTGTGTGTGTGTGTGCGTGCGTGAGTTTGTATCTGCTTGGGATGGGATTGAAGGTGGGAGGAGGGAGATACAAAGGGGATCTCTTATGTGAATCTGTGTGGGAGGGGTGGGAAACCGACTGCTGCCTGTTTGGTTTTAATATTGTAAAGCGCTTTGAGCTGCATTTGTATGAAAAGTGCTTCATAAATAAATTTGACTTGATTTGATTTCTACCCGGCCCCCCAACTCTTTACGCCCTAACGTTTCCTAATTGAGGGACTTTGAAGTTTAGCATCAAAATTCATGTCTGAAATATCATTCAATATCATCAAGCTGCACCTCTAAAGAAACTCCTGAATCCTGGCTACAATGCTGTATAAACATTTTTACGTTCTCCAAACACAACTAAATCTACTTTCAAAGGAGTGACTGGAAATCCTGCTTCGTGTGAGTGTTTGTGCCACATTTCTGTCTCTAATCCTGCAAAAAATCTAATTGTACACACATTATATCCATCCATAATGAAGCTAAAACCCTGTTGATTCTAAACATGTTTCTCACAACTCTCTAATTTCACAGAGATACAAGCCAGAGAGCCGTAAAAACATAAATTGTTGTTTCCCCCGCAGATCAACAACAAAGTTACTTAACTTTGATGTTTCACATTGAAAAGCTCATGTTATCCAGACTTTCTTATCACTTACTGTCAGCTCTTTCTCTTGAGTCAAACTGAAAACACTTTAGATTTTAAACAAAGCTATTTTAGCCAAAAAAGGCCTAGAACTCAAACATCTGGCCAGATGCATTTTTTATTTTTTTTTGCTCTGACGAGTCTCATGGGCTGACTAAGCTGTCAGTCTCATTTTGGTAAATAAAGCTTCATTCTGTTTGATCTAAAAGAGACGTCAATCATCCACATTGACCAGTCCGTCACTGAGATAGAAGGTTGCTTAATGAAGCTTCAACAAGTAAAATATAAATAAAATGGGGCAATTAAGTTTACAGCAAAAACAACTTTATTTCCCAATAAAACAGCAGGGAACCTCAAAAGTATGAATCTGGTTCAAGACAACTCCATGTTGTAGATTCTCACAAACACTTTGATAATGCTTCATGGCTTGTTTGACAACAGACAAACACATGCACGCACGCACGTACGCATGCACGCACACACACACACACACACACACACACACACACACACACACACACACACACACACACACACACACACACACACACACACACACAGATTGGAATTAATTCATAAACAAACCCACTTTATTATGGGATGTATACACATCCTGTTTCCAACCAGAAGAAGGGTGTGTTCATGTTTAGTCTCCTACCCCGTCTCCACATATGTGGACATTGGCTTATTGCACAATTTTATTCTCTCTTTTTTTAATTAGAGACACTTGATATTGATTTAATGTTTTTCTTGAAATTTTTTCCTTAAAAAATTATTTCCTAATTAATTTTTCTATTTTATGTTCACGAGTTGAGTAGAAGTTTTTTTTTTCTTTTAAATTACCCCAAATACAAATTTGGGTCTCGCGAGGTCAAAGGAGTGTCAGAGGTTCTGAAGAGTTCTGTTTTGGTTTGCAGCTTGTGGTCATGTTGGTCCTGGCGGCTCTCACCAGGAAGCATAAACTCTGTCAGGGCTTCTCCAGAGGCTCCTCCAGTATCTTCAGGTGAAATAGGTGAATTATTTACATAAAATATGTGTCTCTGATCAACTAAACATTTCTTTGTTGCTCACCAATCAGTCCGGCCAACTTCCTGGACCAGACTCAGCAGAAGGGGCTGATCATGGCTGTTTTTGGGCTGGTGTTCAGCAAGCTGGCCATGCTGATGATCGCCCCAGACCCTCTGCCTTTCCTTAAAGACACTCCACCAAACATTAAAGGTCTTTGTCTACCTATTGATGGTGTAAATAAAAGATGCTTTATCAGTACTGACCATTTATTTGTTTGTTTTGCAGAATACATGAAGATTATAAGTATTTTCTACTATCCGGTCCTGTACTATCCTCTGCTGGTTTGCGGGACCTTGCAGCATACCGCAGGCTACGTGTTCGGGGCGCTCCTCTCCTTCACACACTTCGGAGTGCTGGTGTGGCAGAAGTTTGACTGTCCAAAAACTCCAGAGGTGAGGCATGCAGGGAGTGGAGACATTCATGGTCGCAGTTTTAAAAATAAAATGACTGGAGACTAATGCAGGGATAAAAACCATCTGGACCACTAGGGGGCAATACTGCAAGCAATAAAAAAACAACAACAGTGTGAACAGCATGTTATATGTTAAGCTTTTTTCTAACATAGTTACAACCACCTATCCACAACAGAAAATAATTGCATAAACACAAAACATGAATCCCCTCTCCCCTGGGAGTTGGTAGGTCCCAGAGGTGCTGATTGGGCCCTCTGAGGAGATGGGCTGCAGCTGTGTGGTGCTCCAGCAGCAACTCCAAGGTCACTGGTAAAGCAAATGAAAATTCAATACATGCATCCACAAATATTAGAAGAGTGATTGTGTGCACTTCAACCAGTCAGAATACAGACAACAAATAAAGATATTACCAGACAACCATACTCCTGAGGTGACAGCAGACACTACCGCCACAGTCCCCCCTCCACACAAAGGCAAATGTAAATAAAAAGAGTTGTTGTTCTATTTTCCTGTTAATAAACCACAGACCAGAGTCCTAGTCAAACTGCAGCTTTAATCTTTTGCAGAAAACACTGAAAGCTTTGTGTGTGTGTGGAGGGAGGGAGGGGGTGGATTATCAGGACTAAGAAGGGTGTTGAGTCTTAGGAAACTAACATTCTTTAATGTATTTTATGTTGCACACACCAATCAAACTTCAGTACACATAAAAAATAAATCTATGATCAAAAATATATATTTTCCAGATCTACAAGTACTACGCTCTGCTCGCGAGTCTGCCTCAGCTGGCCTGCCTAGTATACCTCTGTGTTCAGTTTCCTGTGCTGTTTGTCAAAGGACCAAAGACCGATGAGGTGAGAAAGTTGACATTAACACACACACACACACACACACACACACACACACACGCACACACACACACACACGCACACACACACACACACACACACACACACACACACACACACACACACACACACACACACACACACACACACACACACACACACACACACACACACACAAACAAACACGGGCAGTTCACCATATTTTTCTGCTCATAGACCAAATGTCTGGATTATTTCAGAATTAATTGTAGAAACAAGACTCCCGTGTCAAACATTAAAAGCTGAGCCAAACCCGGGGCTCCTCGAGCAATTTCTAATTATGATGTATAAAATGTTCAGCTTGTAATTACACAATAACCAGAACTTATCATTTTATACATGCACACTGACATCTTAACACGCTCTGACTCTCAGGACCTTGACAGCAGCTACTACACCAACTATGTGAAGATGCTGCTGAAGAAAACTCCCTCATCTGTCAGGTGGGAGGACAGAAAATGGTCATGTATGTGATCGGACTCATTAAACCCAATGGTACACGAGCCGTATGGTCATAGAGATGAAATTATATCTGTGTGTGTGTGTGTGTGTGTGTGTGTGTGCTCATGCGCTTGTGTGTGTTGATAAGAACATAGTCACTGGATGTATCCAACTTGATTAAAGATGACCAGCAGATCCAAATGACCTCTGCACAATAACAGTCAAAACATGACCTCAGTTTATGTAAAATTCATCTATGCGTAAAAACGCTTAAATATGCTGAATTAAAATGTAATTTAAAATCTGTTTACTGTCTGAGACAGCTCCTCTGCAGCAGACAAACCACCACTCATAAAGAGAATCCTAGAAGTGCCCAAGAGTTACATTTATGTTCCTGAGAAAGGTGAATTTCTGTTTAATTTGGAGTATATGATCTTACTGGCTACTCTGATGTAAAAGCTTTAAATGTTTCACTTGTTTCAGTGTTTCGTTTCCCGCTAAAGCTGGCGGTGTCGTCTTTTGTCACATGTGTGGCCATCTATCACGTATGTCTCTGAACATCACGTATTTGCTGCCTTTGTTTGTGAGATTACATATTGAAGAAGCTCTGTTTGACCCCAGACCGCCCTGTTGTTGGTTGTCCTGGTAGTCCCCACGCTGCACATCGTCCGAGCAGGAATTGATGAGAACATCGCCTTCCTGTTGCTGGGGTTTGGGATTGTCCTATCAGACGACAGAATGGAGGTGGTCAGAATTGTAACTTTCTACACGTGGTTGCTGGAAGGTATGTGAACCACTTTGGTGTTGATCTATGTACAAAACAAGAGGTTAATGTCTGATTTGTTATTATTGTCAGTGTGCTATCTCTGTGCCATGACTCTGTCCTGTTTGGTCAGTGTTATTATGCTCATGAGGTCCATGCTCCTGCACAGGTATGTGCACAAAGTTTCATTTAATCAAGAAATACTAACATTACTGCACTACTTTTTACAATAAGCCATTACATCATTGGATTTATTTTTTCAGATCAAACCTAAAGGGTCTGTATAAGGGAGACGTTTACAGGATTTATAACAGCCAGAAGACTATCTGTCCATCAAAAGCAGGTGTTGTCTGCTGGATGGGTTTAACAGGATACCAGGCTGCTATCGTCTGCCTCGGTAATACTCAAAGTTAGCTTAGTTTGATGCTGGTACGAGTTATTTTGTATAATTAGGAAAGCTGTTTTTTTTTTGTCCTGTTTTGGCAGGAATGGCCATCCAGACCGTCGTGTTCTTCATCTGCTTCTTGTTTCTGGTGTTTCTACTCATCATCCCTGTTTTTTATGGCCGTAACCTGATTGTGTTTGAAATAGCAGGAAAGTCATGGTGAGTCAGAATGCCTTCATGTGTTTTTCGTGTTCCTTCATCTCCCTCTCCTTATTCAGCTCTTTCTACCAATCCCCCCTTTCCTCTGTCTTATTAGAAGACCAACAGAACACTAAGGCAGAGAGGAAATTATCTCTGTCCCAAAACAATTCTTATCTGAATCTGGTGCCCTTGGAGTCTGTGAGGCTGAAGTGTTAACTCTCCTCAGAAGAAATGTGGAATGCTGCCGTTGCTATGGAAACTCTTTCTCCCTATCCCAGCCTGGGCGGGATTGTGACCGGTGAAGGCCGTGGAACCGTATCTAGGAGTCACTGTGCTCTCTAACCCATTATCTCCCTCCCCTGTCCAAACGGAGGTGATGAGCGCTGCTCGCTGCATTTTAGTCTTAATCAGTTTTAGTCGACTAAATTTCAAAAAGGCTTTAGTCGACATAGATATTTGTTTTTAATTTTACAAAACATTATACAAATTACAATTCTCTAACAAATGAATGTATAGGTTAGACATATACTCTGAGCTACTGGAGTGAGTTTCATACCAACATAATTTATTTTATGGATATGGGACCAAATCTCAGCTGCCCCAGATTTCGTGAAACAATAATCCCTAGACTGGTATAATTGTATTATTTAATTGATAATTACAATAATGTATATAATTTATTGATGCAGATCTGTGCATCATTCTGTAGATTTCCACAATAGAAATGTGTGGTATGATTTTCTTTCTTTAAAATAAAGGACTCTTTGGGAGCATACAGAGTACACAATATTTATACAGAAATAAAGAAATGTGTTTGTTTAATTTATTACTTGAGTTATCAGACCTCCATCGTAGTGTCTTTAAATGTATATTGTGGCAAATTCCTCCTACTTATATGCATTATTATGTATTATGCCTAGGCACGCTAATGGCTAGCCTCTCCGATGCTAATGCCAGCCTATCCATGCTAATGGTCCATCAAGGGGGTAGGAAATCCAGCTAGTGGCCAGCCTAGGCACGCTAATGGCTAGCCTGTCCAATGCTAATACCAACCCGTCCAGGCTAACGCTAGCCTATCCGTGCTAATAGACAGCAGAGGGAGTGTGTGAACCAGTCAATGACCAGCCGAGGGCTGCTAGTCCCTAGCGTATCTAGTAATAATGCCGGTAAAGGTGCTATTTCTCAGTAAGCAGCGCCAGCCTCTCAATTACCGGCGCCAGCTTATCATTAATCAGGTCAGTAGTTTGCTTCAGAATTTATGTAGCCTCCTGCTGCTGGGCAGTAGTCTTAATTTAGGTCCCCACACCGCGCCATAATTAGGAACCAGCAGAGACAATAATCCTGACACTCTGACACTAAAACATTTGTCTTAAACGTGTTCAGATAAAGCTGTTAAAATCCGTAATTTTTTTCATTTATCTGCGCAAAAGCACAACTTTTTCAGGAGGCACACGGATAAGAAACGTGTTAATATTATGTTTGAATAAAAGTAACAACGCCGTCGCTCGTAGTAGCGTCAATGAGCGGCTGAGCGCTTTCCGTTCCCACAGCAGGGAAGCATGGAGCCGAGCTGAGTGAAGTTAGCTTCCAACCCACATTAGAAATCCATGCAAATAGAGTGGTTTGTGCTTTCTGGTGTGGGTGGGAAGCTAGCTTCACTATTTGCTGGGGATGGTCTGTTTCACCATCGTTTTTGTTAACGAAAACAACACCACTCCACATGCTATTGGAAAATGAACAACGCTTCGCTGTGATTGTCCCACCAACCTGTTAGAGCGCTGTGATTGGAATACCGCCAGACTGGTCAGGGCTGTAGAGGTTCCAATTGAGCGTGGCTAGACCAGCATCCAGAGCTAAATCTTTTTGCCGCTGCTATTGTCTGTCTAGATTTGTAGGCTAGAGATGATTGTGACTCTTACGATGTTTCAGGCCAGCCTGGGTGACGGTTATTCTGGTGACAATCCTTCAACATGTGACTGCCAAGTTGTTCTTTATCAAAAAGGAATCTGGAACCAGAGATCTAAATAACAGGTGTGTTGTTGTCTTCTTGTTTATTCGTATAGTTGGATAAAGTTTGATGCTTCTGAATGTTGTTAGAAGTTTTACTTTCTTTGTCCAGCTGCTTCTTGAGGACTGATTACAGTCAGGGGATTTTCTTTGACATGGACCCAAAATTTCAATGTTCTTTTCCCCAAGACACTTTGCTCTGACTTTCTCCTAGTGGCTTGGTGCTCCGTAATGCTGGAAATGATGTTATTCTTAACTAAACTGTTCTTGGATAACTGGAGAAGTTCCTCTGGGAGGATGTTTCAGTAATGTTCTTTATTCGTGTCTGTTCTTTTATTTGTGTCTGTTCTGAGGGCCTGAGGCTGGACACAGCACAGAAACTGCCCTCTTAAAAATTTTAAATGATACATTTTTAGCAACTGATGTGGGTGAGGCTGTGGTTCTGATGCTACTGGACTTAACAGCAGCATTCAATACTGTTGACCATCAGATTCTGTTGAATCAACTGGAACAATGGGTGGGGCTCACTGGTTCTGTGTTGGAGTGGATGAGGTACCTCATGGATATAACTTTCTCTGTTTCCCTTGGCTCTAATTCTTCAGGGGGTGCTAAGCTTAGGTGGAGGTTCCTCAGGACTCTGTTTTGGGTTCCCTGCTGTTCTCTCTCTATCTGCTACAACTGGGACTGTTGTTTAGAAAGCATAACATTAATTCCCACCTCTATGCTGACCATTGTCAGCTGTACATGCCTGTTAAACAGGGAGCCAGAGGTAGCATACAGCAGCTGGTGAATTGCCTGCATGATGTTACCCAATGGATGGGGTCCAACTTCCTTTCTTTAAATGAGGGAACAACTGAAACAATAGTTTTTACTCCAAATGACCGCCAGCCCCATGGATTGGACCTTTCATCGTTGCACCCCTACGAGAAGTCTGTGATTATGGACTTGGGTGTCAAGATAGACTCTGGTCTATGATTTGATAGTCAGGTGAACTCTTTTGTTCGTTCGTGTTTTATCAGTTAAGGCGCTTATCTAATATTAAGTCGATCTTAAATGAACAGGAGTCGAAAACTGTAGCCAATGCTTTTATCATCGCTAGGCTAGAGTATTGCAATGCTATCTGTGCTTGCTTGAGCCAGTCCTTAATGACTCGACTGCAGCTGGTCCAAAACGCTGTTGCCAGGTTTCTGTATGGAGGACATCAGTGGGAGCATGTCACTCCCCTCCTGACAGCTTTAGACTGGCTACCAGTGAAGAGTTGCATCTTGTTAAAAATCCTGGTCCTTGTTTTTCAATCCCTGTCTGGATCAGCGCCACCATATTTCGCCTCCCTGCTGATCTGTTACATCCCTGCAAGATCGCTATGTTCGGGTCAGAGACCTTTTGGTGGTACCGCGATCAAAGCGTAAGTCTAGGGGTGATCGTGCCTTTGCAGTCCTGGGTTCTGAGCTTTGGAACCAACTCCCACAAGAAATCAAACAGTCCGCATCGCTGCCCACTTTTAAAGCAAGGCTTAAGCTGTATTTTAGATCTGTTTCTTAGTTGTGTCTATTTACATTTTAATGTTTTTGATCACTATTTTTATTGTTTCTAGCTCTTTTTTGTTTTAAATGTTTTTATCTCTGTTTTTATCCCCTTCACACTCCCTTGATTGAGGGTGTGAAGGGGTTTTATAAATAAAATGATTGATTGATTTTAACTTTTACCTTGAGAGATTACACTCTCTTGGCTGAAAGGCATTACCCCACCCACACACATAATGGTCTCAGGATGCTTTAATGTTGGAGGGACACAGCACTGAGGGGAGAGCTCACCTTTTCTTCTCCAGATACATTAATTGTTTTCCCAGGTGTCATCAGCAGTCAGAAAGAGGATTTATCAGAAATGACTTCCTCACAGTGTATTTTCTTAATCCTTTAGCGTTTTAGGGAAAATTTATAAGGCAAGGATTAACTTCAGCCTTTTTCAAGGAGAAGGTAAAACCAAATTGTTACAAGCCAATTTACCGGGCTAGCTCCACTCTTCTACATTTTACTAATATCTCAGGGTTTGGCTTGTAATCGGTGTAGTGAGCGTGGCAGCTAGTTACCAACAAACACCCTTACTCTGTAGAGAGTTGATTAGCAATCACCAAATTACCCAGGGCTTCTAATTCTGACCAAAATTAGTTCAAGCAGACACAAAGGAGGCGCAAACACACCTACACACACCCCCAGTCCATGAAGCTTATGTACACTTCAGGTTAAGACCCTGGCCAGCTGTTCCTTTTATGCTGAGGAGACAACTGACTTTACCTGTAGCGTAGGATGGAGGAAACAACTTATATCAATACCTTGGGATGGCATTTACAACCAGCATCTCACCTTTGCTTGGTTACCGACAGGAGACCCCACTCGTAAATCCTTTTTTCGTTCCACGAATCCGAGGAACTAGGTTTTATTTCACACAGATGAAAAAAGAATAAGAATCTAAACAAAACCCCGACAATGCGGGTTAAAAAGTGAAACTACTCTTTGCCAATAAACCGAGTTATAGCAAAGTTGAGCTGAATAAGCTCTCCAAAAATGACACTAGGTCAGATTATCACAGACAAAAAGCTCAAAGCAAAAGCTTCCTTCTTTCCATCTCTCTACCTCACAAACTATTCCCATCAAAGGCCAACCTCCAGACCCAGTAGCTCCTTTTTATTTACTTTGTACCCCCCTCCCTCACAGTTATTTCTTTGTTTGCTGCTTCAGACTTCCTGGTCACGTGTTCCTCTTCTTCTTGTTCTCCAACGGCCCCAAAGAGACCATAAATCTTGGATGTCATGATGTCACCTTTTCTTCTCCCAGTCTTCATCCGTTCACTTGTTTCTTCTTCTCTGCATGCTGTTGACATTGGCCTAATGTTGCCCCTCCTTCTTGCTTGTCAGGGGGAGCAATTTTATTGATTCTAAAAGTCTATGTCTTATTTGGATAAACCATTAGCTGGTGCACCTGGACCTTCTCCAGAATGAGCCTCCTCACCTCCTCCACTTCTCTGGAGGTCAAAAAGGTTACCACAGAACCGTGAGACAGAAACAGCTCGGTGAAGGCAACTAGCAATTTATGACTTCAGGGGTGATAAGAGACAAGGGTATAGGAACACACACACACACGGATACACCTTGGGAAGCCTAGAATTGATTTCACATAATGAGAGACATAATCCAGACTTAATTCCATACATTTAAAAGTCTGATTATACTCCATACAACACAAATAAACAAATTAAAATTAAAGTAATAATCATTAAAATTCCATTTACAAATTTGTGCACATAAGTGAAAATGTATCACAAACTATGGGGCAAGATGATCAATATACTTGCTATGAGATAATGCAAACCTTAGAAAAAAATATTTTCAAAAAGCTGAAAGTTATGAACAAAACTGTCTCAGTAAGAATCAAATCTTAAGAAATTAGAATTCATGTCCTAAACCAACAAATGAATGATCTCTTTCAGAGAGAGCCTATTCCTGATGACCTACCTGCTGTTTGTGGTCAACATCGTGGTGGGACTGATAGTTGGAATTTGGAGAATCGTGATAACAGCTTTGTACAACATCATCCATTTTGGTCGTATTGACATCAGTCTGCTGCACCGCACTGCGGAGTCCTTTGATCCTGGTAAAAACAAACAACAAAAACAACTGAGCCATGCAGTTTGGTTTATAACTTCTGTTGTTGATCCCATACAGCCTACCATTACTACACCCACTTCCTGAAGGTGGAGGTGAGTCAGACACACCCCGTGTTGAAGGCTTTCTGTGGATTGTTGCTGGACATGATGGTTGAGGTTGGTAGAGCTGGACCGAAGATGAAAGATGCAGAGGAAGGTAGGAAAAGCGCACACGCAGCTTCTTCTTTGTTTCATAAATCAAATGTATAGTTAAATCTATTTTTGATTGGTTCTCAGGGAGGATAACTGTTTTCATTCAGTTCTCGGGATGAGAATGTTTTAAAGTTCGATTATATTTTAATGATGAAAAAATATTAAAACCAAAAATGTTAATTAATAGCAAGAACAATAAATAAAAGAAGGCACATCAGTCGCTATTCACCAGTGAATGAGAGAATAGAATAGAATAGAATAGAAGATCCCTTTATTGTGCCACAGTAGAGACACTTGCCAAAAAGTTCAAAGAACAACAAAAATAAAGAATAGGAAATAAAAAAGCTTTACATTGAACAAAAAACATAAAAACATGAATGCAACAAATATTTAAAATATTTAATTGACCTTATAACATTTATAATAAAAAAAATTAACATACTGTAAAACAGATTAGTAGATTATTGCATGAGTGATAACTTAAATGGACAGATAAGCAATTAAGATATGATTGAATGCAAAAACAATGAAAACAGAACACACACATTTAAAAAGAAGCAGGGAAGCTAAAATTGTTTACTGGTTTTGTTGGGAGCAGTGGTGGGTGTAAATCCTTACAGCAGCTGGGAGGACTGACCTGCGATAACGTTCCTTTGTGCTCCTAGGATGTAGCAGTCAACCCCTTATGGGGTTCTTTAGTTCCACAACAGTTTCATGCATGAGGTGTGAGACATTGTCTAACAGTCATGTTATTTTAGCTAGAGTCCTTCTATCTCTCACCTCCTTCACTAGATCAAGGGGACATCCTGCAGGACTGGCTTTCTCAATGAGCTCATTTAATTTCTGACCGAGAAACTGCTCCCCAACAAAATAACTATTCAAAAATTTGTACCCACTTTATTTCGGTAGTAAGACACCAAACAGATTCCATTTCAACTTTGGAAGTTATTCTAACAAAGTGTAAAAAATACACAAATAATGATCAGAAACATTTTATATAAATACTGTAAAAGTTGCTCAAAACATGCAAGTTTACTTCCGACCTTTCATTGTAGTGTTGAAACAGCATTAACATTTTTTATTTTCCATAAAATTCCAGAAGTATCCTATTCACCATTTCCACTTTGCACTAGAAATTAGGGAACACACATAATTTTTTTCTGGTTGTTTTCTTTTCTCATTTAAGATGCAACTGCACCAATACCTCCTGATCATTAGAACCTCTGGCGGTACACTGCAAAGCATTCCTGATTTGCATTCAAGCACAGAAAAACATTGCATTTCTGGCATTTCCATCTTGACACACCTTTTGGACAATAACTGCATCGGCCTCGCTTATCACAGTGAAGTGGCCAATGCCCACAGCTCATATCGCACATCTGGTTGTGGTTGTGAGGGTCTTGTGATGTGGCATATCTGTGATGGGGGTGGAGAGCTGGATCATGGTTGGCCAACTTTGGATGCTGGCTTGTTAAATTGTTTCAAGTTATGGGCAACTGCAAGGTGGAATCTTTTCAAGGAGATTGGTTTGTGATTCAGTTGTCCACACTCCCTTTTGACCAGCCAGGAATTTGTAATGCATAGATCAAGCATGTACCCAAAGGGTGGTAGGTACCATCTTGTAGATTTGGCTGGGGTCTTGTACAGTTGTACCAGCATGTCAGAGAGGTCAATCCCTCCCATATGCCCGTTGTAGGCATGGATGAGTGATGGGCATGGGATGGAAATCTTTGCCTTGGACTCTTTGCTCCAGCGTTTGACAGTTGACAATGGCATGACCCCAACAGCATTACTCAGCAGATTCACACATTTGTTGTCAAACCATTTTACTGCGATCACCCCTTCAGCAGCCTTGTAGTCAAAAGCTCCACGCCCTTTCTTTGTCAGCTCTTTTTCTGTCATCAAATGGGCCATTCCCATCTGTACCGGGTCGGCCCGGGCCAGGTAGCGTAGGTTGTTTACATATCTGGGTGGCCTGGTATTTTTCCGGGCCAACCAAGGCTCATTCTCAGCCCTCTTCTCGAGGGGGTCTGCTTCAGGCCGACCAGGGCCAACACACCCACTGCTGACAGCAAATTCACACCTTCCATTAGAGCAAGCCTCTGATTGGTGGGTAGAATCAGCCCACATGGGCTTAAGACAAGGATGTGTGGAATCAACCGGGCCAGGCTGGGGCCGACTGGGGCTACCCGGCCCGGGCTGACCCGGTACAGATGGGAATGGCCCAAAAGTGGCTCCACCTGTGCGATTTGGTCGAACAGTGCCAATGCACTTGACACCCAACGAGGTGTCCAGGTACTCCACCAGTTTAAAACTGGTAAAATAGTTGTCACAAAACACAACAGAAAGCCTTGGCTGTGTTGTGGTTTTACAAAGTGTTGTCACCACTTTGGCTCCCAAAGGTAACATCTGCTCCTCCTCACTGAGGGTAGTGTTGAAGAATGTGGAAGCTCCCCAATAAAGCAGCAGGCCATGAATGATGACAGATGGACTGGCTCGGCAAAACTATTTAAAGCCCCACATTTGTGGCTTGTTGGCAATATACTGACGGAAATTGCCAGCCCTTGTGCCTTTATAGGCTACCATGACCTCATCCACGCTGTGCTTATATGTTGATGGTATCTGGAGGCATTGCTCACGAAGCATATCAAAGAGAGGTCTGATTTTGTTAAATCGGTCTCCACTGTTATTACACTGCTGATTATCGTTGAAATGAATGAACCGGCGCAACAGCTGGAATCTCTTCTTTGGCATGATATCGGCTATCACACTGAAGCGTGACTCATGGTGCCAGTAAACTTCTAGCGATGGAAAGTTGAAAACACCCAAAAAATAGGAGGATTGACAGAAAATCTTCAATTTCCTTAGGGCTAGTCTTGATTGTGTCCCCCATTTCTTGAGCAGAATACAGATTGGTATGATAAGCAATATGATCAATCATATCATCAGTGAAGAGCATTTTGAAGTACTGGAATGGGGACTGTAGAGCCTCAGGGGGCTCAAAACTTGCTTCTGGAACTTGCAATTCTTCAATGTCTTCATGCTTCCAGATTCTTCTTGCATCTTTTTTGGGGACTGAGAAGGAAGATGGGTATAATGTATCCTCTGCTTCTTCCAAGAGAACAGTTTTTAGGATGTGTTTCATTTTTTTTTGCTTTTTACAAGACAACTGTGCTGATCTGCCTTTTGAAGGAACATCTTCTTCAATGGAAACATCAAAACAGCTTTCATTACTATCATCTGCAAAATTGGGTTGAAAATTTGGATCCTCTATAGTGTCATCATCACTCAGTTCACCATCAGAGTCCTGAGAATGTTCAGGTACAAGGGCCAGAGAAGTGCGTTGCCTTGTTCCATAAAAGGATTTGCAATCCATCTATTAAATGTAAAAGAAAAGGAAATTGTAGGTGTTGTAGATGGTTTTGTAAAATTCAAATAACTGCAATGGTTTGATTTTTTTACCTTTCATGCAAAACAATATTTTGAAAACAATGACAGAGTTAATCTTTTTTACTTTGTCCTGTAAAACAATTAAAACACTTAATACTTAAATGTATAGATCATGAAATCATTTTTTTCATGGAAAATAGTCAATTTAACATGTCAAAACAAAACTTCTAAACATTAGCTTAGTGTTGCTAACCGTTGGTTGAGCATGTTTTAGAAAATGCATTCTCAATGTATTACTTTCTGGTATCAAATGACATAATAACGTTCTGCAAAGACTATGACATGATTTTACTGTGGAAAAATGTACTTACCTTCACAATTTTTTGCCAAAGCAGTCCATGTGTCCTGAGTGATTTTTTTGTTTCTGATTTCCTGGTGGGAGCATGGCAGATGAGGCCTGCAATTTCCTGACACAGTGCCATCTAGTGGATTGTTTTAGTACAACATAACTCAACCAAGTGGTAGAGATGGCTCAATAAGGTTAAGTACGCCTGTCCATTAAATATGGTTTCTCAAAATATGCTACACCACTTGCTTGTGAAGAATTTTATACATTGCTCTGTACTACTGCAAGAAAATGTTTAACCCCTCATTTACACTGAGTGTGGAACGAACGCAGTCAGGTTCCCGCATGCCTTTTGGACGAACTGCCATTTATGTCCGCTCCAGATCCACTTCACTGGAAATTTCATCCATCAAATGATTAAATTAATGAAAACTTGCATGAGGCGTCTGGGGAAATAGACTCAATTTAGAAACTTTCCATGCCTCTACATCTGGATCTGCATCACACTGTAGCTGATGTGCAAATGCTCTGATTGGACTCAGTGGGTTATTTGTGGAAGCCGTACGAATGCTGGACCTCATCCATTCTGCACTTGGTGTAAATGAGGGAAACAAGTCCTCAGCCAGTCTGACCTCAGTCTGCTCCTCCTCCGTTCTCTTAGGGATTCAGGAGAACAGGCCCAACAAGGCAACCAGCCGCCAGAGGATTCACACTCGCTGGCAGCTGCTGTACACGCTGGTGAACAACCCGTCCCTTCTGGGCTCCAGGAAACACTTCCAGACGCTGCAGACCTCTGACAATATTCTGAATGGCACACCAAACCGCAGGTCAAGAAAAAGCAGTCAGAAGGAGTCTGAAAAATCAGAAGCAGAACCAGTACAGACCTCTGAGATACCATCGAACCAAGATTAAAGTGATTTGGACGTTGGAAGTAATTATATTTGGTTTATTAGATAGAAACTGGTGGGGAACAAATTTAGAATGAATTAACATTATTTAAATATCATATAAAGGCCAGTTTAAAAGTTTTTTTTAAACAAACTGTTAGTCAATGGGAGCGTTTGGTCAGTTTCATAATTAGCAACGAAATTAATTTCAAGAACATGATCCCGGCCCAGTGATGAACTGAATCAAGGGATCGACAACCAAGACCAGATCTGGAATTTATTACAGCTGTGGTCAGACATTTCCTTGTCATGGACATGGATATCAATGAGTAATTTGAATGGATCTCATGGGTTTTCTTGCTGTCATTCAGGGTCATTGGTATCGATAGCAATCACATTAATAAATACAACAAAAGATAAAAAAAATATGCTGGCAAGGTGGCCTGGAGAATCAGGGTGGAATGTCTCCATCTGGAACTCCTGGAGGCTGATAAGGCTTTTCAGCTTGACCAGCTCAGCCTGGAGGCAAGAGAGCTCCCCTGGGTGATCCGCAGGCTCTGTCCCTTTGTCTGGCATCGAAGGTGCTGACTGGACTGGAGACGGAGGCTGGGGGTCCAAGCTGGAGCATAGAGCGGGGGCCTCTGAGGTCGATGGCACCACTCAGCTATCTCGACCCCGCTGTCTGGTCCCTCTCGTGGCACCCCTGGAGTGGGAGGAGACCTTGGGAGGGGTGTGTCTCAGCTGACTGCGCTGATCGCGGGACATCCTCGCAACCCCCTCTGGAGTCTGACTCACTGAGGAGCTGGAGGTGACGTCAGCAGTGGTTGCGGCGCACCCGTGGCGCAGCTCCGGGGCTGGAGAAGACGGCGGGGCTTGGGTTCCCTCCCAGCACCGTGGACCAACTCCAGGAGATCACATGGCCAGTCTGGTGCCCTCGTAGGGGGAGTGGTCCAGCTGCACCTCCCAGCCCAACCTCCCATCTGGATGCGGGAGGGCAGAGAAGATCACTGAGGCCGAGGTTCGGCACCAGCGGCGAGGCGGCGCTGGAGGAGGGGAAGCTGGCTGATAGCTGGGAGTGAGCCACTGCAGCAGGCATTCCCAGGGAAGAATTTCCCATGATGCAGATGAGTTGAACGGTTGAGGTGAGGATCCGAATGCAGGGGAAAGAAAAGCAGGCTGATACGGACATTCAAAAGGGTTTTAATTAGAAACACGTGGGACAATAAAACAATGAACGGACAGGGAACACAGAACTGGGAGGGTTTAAATACAAGAGGAGCTGGGATCTAAAGTGACTGGGAGACGAGAGGCAGGTGGGAGCAATTAGGGAAGACACAGAATTGAACAGAGAGTGGGGAGACAGGACAGGTTGTGACAGTGTGACACCGGGCAGTGTGGCTTTTTACATCAGCTCATTCTCCGTGGTCGAAGATCAGCGGGACAGTAGCTACATGCTAACCCTAAGCTAACGGAGTTGTTTCGAGTGTTTTTAGCAAGAAAAACGTGCTAAAGCAAGTCCAATGTGAAGGCCTCCGGCCTGCTCAGTAACAAAATCATAGCTAGGTAAGCTGACCGAGGATATCAGTCTTCGCTGGTCCACCACGGTCAAAGGTCTGCGAATCCACCGTTGTTGATGGTCCTATCTCTGGGAGCATCTACTCGGCTACCAGCGCTGTGTCGACACGAAGCCAAAAGCAATATCGACACTCCTAGAGCCGGGACCGTCGACAACGGAAACGGGAACATCCAGCCGCCTGCTCCAACAACCGTTCCCGGGCAGGAGACAGGAGAAGTTGGGCACCTGCTCACGTTTCTTATGCAGCACCACTAACATGTTTGACCAAGTGGTTAAATGACACAGCATTCACCACCATTCAACCAGCAAAATAAAATACAGAAATATAGTTTTGATCTGTTATCAATAACCACAGCTTGCCCTCTGATTAACATCCAAACACGAACAAACAGAAGACACAACTAAAGTTCAGAGAGTCAAAATGGCCGAACATCTATTAACGTGAGACCCTGGCTGAGGCCTTTCCCTTGAGCTAGCTCTGAAGTCACGTGGCTCTGATGCTCATTAATTATTCAGAAATTTAAGAATTAAGTCACACTTAAACAGAAGAGTTATCATGAATGTAAACTAGATCTATTCTTTTTGAACCAGGCTGTAAACATGCTTATTTCTGCCGTGAAATTGGCTTTCTTTACATGGGACTCAATGAGGATTTGCTCACATCCCCTGGTGGAGTGGTGAACTGTAGGTATGGCTGCACTTGGGAACAGTTTGGTTGTTTAACCCTCCAATCAAACCCCTCAATGCTGAGTGTCAAGCGGGGAGGCATCGAGTCCCATTTATAAAGGCTTTGGTATGACTTGAACCCACAATCTCAGGGTGGACACTCATACTATTAGGCCATTGAGCCAGATGAGTCATGATTTTAGCTCCTGGAGTGTTTAATTTGTCTCACTGAACTCGTCGTCGTCGTCGTCGTCGTCGTCTTCCTCCGCTTATCCGGGTCCGGGTCGCGGGGGCAGCATCCCAACTAGGGAGCTCCAGGCCGTCCTCTCCCCGGCCTTGACCACCAGCTCCTCCGGCAGGACCCCAAGGCGTTCCCGGACCAGATTGGAGATGTAACTTCTCCAACGTGTCCTGGGTCGACCCGGGGGCCTTCTGCCGGCAGGACATGCCCGAAACACCTCCCCGGGGAGGCGTCCAGGAGGCATCCTGACCAGATGCCCAAACCACCTCAACTGGCTCCTTTCGATCCGGAGGAGCAGCGGTTCTACTCCGAGTCCCTCCCGAATGTCCGAGCTCCTCACCCTATCTCTAAGGCTGAGCCCGGCCACCCTACGGAGGAAACTCATTTCGGCCGCTTGTATCCGCGATCTCGTTCTTTCGGTCATTACCCAAAGCTCATGACCATAGGTGAGGATTGGGACGTAGATCGACCGGTAAATCGAGAGCCTGGCTTTCTGGCTCAGCTCCCTCTTCCCCACGACAGATCGGCTCAGCGTCCGCATCACTGCAGACGCCGAACCAATCCGCCTGTCGATCTCCCGATCCCTCCTACCCTCACTCGTGAACAAGACCCCGAGATACTTAAACTCCTCCACTTGAGGTAGGACCTCTCCCCCGACCCGGAGGTGGCAAGCCACCCTTTTCCGGTCGAGAACCATGGTCTCAGATTTGGAGGTGCTGATCCTCATCCCAGCCGCTTCACATTCGGCCGCGAACCTACCCAGCAAGAGCTGAAGGTCAGAGCTGGATGAAGCTAGGAGGACCACATCATCCGCAAAAAGCAGAGACGAGATTCTCCTGCCACCAAACTCGACACACTCCACACCACGGCTGCGTCTAGAAATTCTGTCCATAAAAGTGATGAACAGAACCGGTGACAAAGGGCAGCCCTGGCGGAGTCCAACCCTCACTGGGAACAGGTCCGACTTACTACCGGCTATGCGGACCAAACTCACGCTCCTCTGGTAAAGGGACTGAATGGCCCTTAACAGAAAGCCACCCACCCCATACTCCTGGAGCGTCCCCCACAGGGTGCCCCTGGGGACACGGTCATAAGCCTTCTCCAAATCCACAAAGCACATGTGGATTGGTTGGGCAAACTCCCATGCCCCCTCCATCACCCTTGCAAGGGTATAGAGCTGGTCCACAGTTCCACGGCCAGGACGAAAACCACATTGCTCCTCCTCTATCTGAGATTCAACTATCGATCGGACCCTCCTCTCCAGTACCTTGGCGTAGACCTTTCCAGGGAGGCTGAGGAGTGTGATCACTGAACTCAATAAACCAATCATGTTCAGCTGTGATTATTTCCACCTGCGCACACCTCTTAGCACCAAATCATCCACAACCCTCATGAAGCTCACAGCCTGTTCTAGTTCTCATCCAGCCAAACCAAACCAAAATAAGTTAAAATCACATCTAGTCTAGTCAAGCCAAGTCTGCTTTGCTTAATCCAGTCAGTCATCCAGTCCATGAAAAGTTTCCGGTTTTCTTGTAATAAATCATTTATGTTGCCTCCATTTCCTGTGTTTGGCTGAATCATCTGATCGTGACAAGATGTCTCCTCCAAAAAAATAAATAAAAATCAAATAATAATAATAAAAAAAGAAAGCTGTAAGCTGAAAAGAAACTCTGACTGGAACAGATTTGGCCAGAATAACAAGAAGTATGTCGGAAAGAGTCAAGGGGAGATTTTCAAACCCATGAATACTGCAAGCACGGTGGTGGTAGCATCATGCTGTGGGAATAGAGTATGGATGCAACTCTAAGTAAACTTCATGAAAATACATAATATATCCAAATTTTTGTAATCAGCATGTAACATGCAACCCCCCTGTTTTATTTTCATTTTTTCATTATTTCCTATGTAACTTAACTAGCTCTTATGATAAGGTGTGGCCGGTACTGGTCTGAGTTTGGAGAGTCAGGGAGGAATCCCCAAACAGCTGCAGTTTTAACTAGTCACAGCTGAAACATACAAAGTTCGCAGCATTTTAAGCAAATGTTTACACTGAATCAGTCTTTATTTAAAATTTCTAAACAAAAATAGTTGCAGTGTTTTTTATTCATGCAGCTCGCTTCTCTGCAAAGCCTTTTTTGTGGTTTCCTCCTGATGTGCATGACAAAAACTGACTGAAAAGATCAATAACATATCAGAGCTGGAGTAAAGAGGGCCATGGGATGCTCTGGTTTTGATTTTTCCTCATGGTTACAACAGCTGCATCAGTACATGATTAATTCTCATTAGCTCTTAGTGCTTTGATGGTTTTTTGTTGTGAAAACATATTTGAACTACTTTTATGCCGTTATACATCGGCCACAGCACTACAATTAAACTACAATAGAATATTTTTAAAAGGTTGTGGGCAGATTTGCAGGAAAGTATCGGATTTCCACCAAAGTGACACTGATTGAGTACATAATCAATTTGCCTCTGGGATTAATAAAGTATTTTTGAATTGAATGAATAAGACCCTTTTGGGAGCTGTTTCTATAGAGATTAACTGTCTTGATTTAATGACTAACTTCTTAATGGGCCGTAATCATGCTATTTTACACCTTCCAGATCAATGACAGACAAGATATATGCTAAAATATTAACAATGGAACTAAGTTGTAATTACTTGTAATTAAAAATGTAAAACCTTACTGGACTTACATGATTTTATAATTGTTGTCTTTCTCATTTTTAGAGACTTGGTTTCCAGTAAAACACAACTGAAATATTTATGAGTTTTAAATGAATAGAGACAAAACAAAAGTTGAATCCAGACTTTATTGAGGCACGTGGGAGGGCTAGCGACATATAAAACAAACACAAACAGGAAGTACAGATTCAAAGGTTATTTTGAATCTAGAATATTGAAACCACAACGTTCCACGATGGGCAGCATGTAGGTCCTCAAACACAGCAGCTCGTGGGATTTAACTGGAGATGCACACAGGATGTGTAAGGTACATAACACTGATTTCACACATTTCACCACCACATAAGATTTTAGTTACCAAAGTTATCTTCACAGGTAGTGTTCACATCTGGACAATCAGCTGTTTTCTGTGTTACACAAATTTCTTCCCAACAACACATTTAAACTTTGTGCCCTTAAAGCTTCTGTGTTTTCACTGAAACACTTAATTCTACACTTAGTTCTGCACTTAGTTCTACAGCTGTTGTGTAACTACGTGTGTGAAGTGTGTGTTCATTGTTTACAGGCATTTGGGCTAAAGGTTCATGTTTTACTACAACACATGTACAGTATTATATGATGTTATTTCCAAGATCTGACCAGAATCGTTCAAACTCCATCATTTCTAGATGTGTTGGTTTAGTTTAAAACTGAAGCTTTATTAATTACAGATTAGCAGCGAGACGGTGCTTTTACTGAACGGACTTGTGTTACCGGGAGTGAATTTCCTTTTTCTCTTTTATTTCTAAACATGACGTGACCTTTCCATTTGGTACAGTGTCACCTTTTAGACAAAGAACAAAATGAAGAATTGTTTCTTCAGTGAAAAATGAAAAACAGTGATCTTTATGAAATAACCTAATTAAATCAGGTCTTTTTTTTATTAACTTTATTTATTGCAACTGAAATTTAAAAGACGGTTCTGTCTGGTTACTCCATCGCTATCTCCACACACTGGCACCATGAAACAAATTTAGCATGAATACAATTTGATAAAAAGAAACAGCTTGTCTTGTTAACAGCTAAAATGGTGATCGGCTCATTTTAACTGTTGTTCAGGTAATTTCATCCTCCTGTGCTAGTCCAATGATTGTTTTGCTGTAGCGGCCAATTCCATAAATAGAAAACCACGTTTAGAGAACACAAAGGTTCTCCCTCCTGTCACGGACTTTAACAGCTCAACTCATGTCGGATCAGCGTGGAGCAGAACAGAATCTCAGCATAGAATATTAACATGTCACAAATGCAAAAACATGTTTAGGACCAACAGATCCTCCGTTTACTCATCAAGATATCTGTAGTTGTTAGTGATATTGACAGCTTCAGCTCCTAAAGGCAACCTGTCACTGTACTCTGATCCGACCTCGCAGTCGTCTGGATGTCTGCTGTGAGACAAAGTAAAAGACTCAGTAACAACACTTTCCTCTGTGTCTGCCTCTTTATTCCTGTCGTCTATGCTCTCCATCTCCTCCTCAGTGATCTTCCTCTGAACCTTGGTGTGACGGGTGTTAAAGTTAGCTGTCAGGTTCCTCTCCAGATGGTACTGGTCTTTGGCCTTCAGGATCAGCTTGTAGGTCTTGCTGCGGTACGTATACACCAGGTGGAAGCAAGTGGCACCGAGCAGAGGCACAGTGGACACGGTAAGGAGGCAGATGCTGACTGAGATGATGATGAGCAGGTTTGGTACCACCCTTCTGGTGGCAAACAGGACCTGGACTCTGCAGTCCTCCCCCCTGTAGGTCAGACACAGGGAGTAGTTGGTGCCAGGTCTCAAACCACTGAACAGATATGTGTTGATGCCTTCTTTGATCCTAGACCACTGCACGGCGGAGTGTTTGCCATCTGCCGCGATGCACAGGTACAAACCGTTGGATCCAACATTGTCAAAGGCATCTGGAAAGTCAGAGTGCTCCTCACTGTTGGTCTGGAAGCTGTTGGACATGACTTGGCTGCTGCTCCTTTCTGTAGGTATGAGGAGAGCATTGAGACGCACTGTTGCCTCTGTTTCCGACACACCTATAGCAATGACACCAAAGTCGAATGTGTACTGCTTCATGTCATCAACGCTCCCATTTAAGACGTGGCTGGAGATGTTTTTTGTGTTAGCCGTCGGGCCACATTTGCTGGAACGTGGAAGAAATCTGGTTGTGTCTTCATAAGATTTGGGACTGATTTCTGCTGCCGGGTGAAAAGTGGGCATGTGGGTCTGAGAGTCTTTTCTCTTCACATCGGGTCGATGCAGGGAATCAAAAATAGAGGTTTTGTCTGTTTGTTTAAATGTTTTAGGGGTAAATGTTGTGGTGATTGGTCTGGTGGGTGTTGGCTTTGGACTGGCCATCACCTTCACCAACACTGAATCCTCAGCTCTACCTAACTCATTTTCAGCAGAGCAGCTGTAGTTTCCAGCATCTTCTTGTCCGAGTTGTGAGATGAGAAGAGTCCCATTGCCAAAGACTCTAATGGAGTTTCCAAAGTCTTTGGAAGACTCTGCAGAACCGTCCACCGTGAGTGAGTGTTTCTGCTTTCTGCCGTGAATGTTCCACGTCAGCAGAGGCTTCGGGTTTCCTCTGAACGCACAGGTCAGAACCAGCTCACTGCCCTCGTAGAAGGCTGCGGTGTGAGTATTTGGTTCAATCACTACTGTGACATTTGGACTCATGCACTTTGACTCAGGTAGTTTTAGGATTGGTTCACCTTTGAGCTCCTCTGGAGTTGCACATGTGATCATACTCTGATCTGGAACTGTGATGGTGGTGGTTGATATCCAGTCTCTGAACCAGTCCAAGAAGCAGGAACATGCAAAAGGATTGTTATAAATCTGCAAATGTGATAAAGACACCAAACCGTCAAATGTCCCTTCAGCTATGGTCACAAACTTGTTATTGTTGAGCCGGAGGGACCTCAGGTCTTTGAGGTTGGAAAAGGCATCTCTCGGCAGGTTGGCCATCTCGTTGTGGTTCATCCTCAGCAGCTGCAAAGCTGTGAGGTTCTGCAGATCCTCCCAGGGGAAGTCTACAATCCTATTGTGGCTGATGTCAAAGTTACGCAGATGAACCAAAGGCAGGAGGCTTCCTTCTTCGATAGAGATGATCTCGTTGTAGGCCATCCACAGGGAGGTCACCTGGGTCACATTATCAAAGCTGCCCAAAGGAATAAAACGGATCCTGTTGGAAGAAAGACTGATGGTCGTTACATTTGGGAGATAACCTTCAGGGACCTCCGTTAGGTCTTTGTAAGAGCACTCAGCAAAATGTCGACTGTGTTTGTCTGTGCAGGTGCAGCGCTCTGGACAGCAGAGTCCGGCAGAGACGATGGCAGAAATCCACAAAACGAAGGAGATGTCTGCAGCCGTCATGTCTGCTCCTGTAAAACAGAGTCACAGCCTAGTTACTGATCATGTTTTATTACCATTTAGTACTCTTTAGGTTTTATAACCATGTTATAAAATGAGATTAGAAATATAAAAATGTCTAGAAAATAACATATTAACGTGATAGGATTTTACAGAGACAACAATGTAACACAAAACACAGTTTTTAGGACTACCAAACTTATTTGGAATAAAATGTATTTTCAGTTCATCTAATTTTAAATGAATCTAGGGTAGTAATAGTTTTAACAATAACATTAGTAAACATTTTTGGGACATCATAGATGAAACTTTTTGTTATGCTTCAGTTTTAATAAGAAGCTCAAATATCGTTTTGTTGACAAGAACATCTAAGTTATTTTTTCTTCTTGACAATAAATATTACTATTTAATTAATAAATATTAATGGCGTCCACTAGGATACTCTGGATGCTCCACGTTCCTCCCACAGACCAAAAACATGCTTGTTAGGTTGATTCTTGACACTAAATGGTCCCTAGGTGTGTGTGTGTGTGTGTGTGTGTGTGTGTGTGTGTGTGTGTGTGTGTGTGTGTGTGTGTGTAAATGCTGTTTGTTTGCTCCATGTGTCCGTGATAGATTGGTGACCTGTCCAGAATGTCCCCATGTCTCACCCTGCAGACTGCTGGAGACAGACTCCAGCTCTACGATAACGCTATGGTGGAATAAACAGTTGAGATGATGAATGTGGAACTATAAAAGCAGATCTTTATCAGCCTGTTGTCCAGTCGTTTCTCAGAATCAGTACTGATCTAAGAGTATTTTTCATTCAGGTTACATCCCAACATCTTTCAGAAACTTGAAGATATTTTACTCCCATTTAATATTTGATCTCTGTTTGCTGAAAAACAAACCTGTAACATTCTCCGACGCGGCAGAGCCATTAAATCTGCCACCACCGAGTTCAACAACAGATGTTTATTTCTCATCAGAATCAGATCATCCCTCTTTCATTGATTGTTTCATCATTGAGATGTTTTTATGTTTTTATTGATTTTACCAGGGAAATATTGCTGTTAGGAGTGGTACATTCAATCAGAGCTCATGTTCTGTTTGAAGACTCTCATGTCTCATAGGTCCTTTTGGACACTGAGGATGATTTTTGTCAGTTACTTTAACTGAAGTTTGTTTCAGAAATATTACAACAGACTGATGATGATCAGTTTTAATAGACTGTACAATTTATGAAAATGTTGAATATTTAGTGTACAATAAAATGATGTATCCACATTTTGTAACATGCTCAAAATATGAAAGATGGTGTAGTCCTGTTGGCTTCATCATAACGTGATCTTTAGCTGGAGCGGTTCGCAGCCGAGTGTATAGCAGCTGGTAAAGAAGTGTTGTGATTGAGAGAGCCGAGTCCAAACGCAAGGCTCTTGATCTACTGGTAGATCTACGTTCCAACCCTCACCTATGTTCATGAGCTTTGTACCGAAAGAATGAGATCGTGCATGCAAGCGGCTGAAATTAGTTTTCTCCACTGGGTGTCTGGGCTCTCCTTTAGAGATAGGGAGAGAAGCTCGCTCATCCCCGGTCTGACTAGAAGATAAATGGATGGATGGCTCAAAACTTTTGCTGTTTTATTCAGGAAATTAACAGCAGATAGCAATTGTATGTACAGTTTTAATTTGCTTACATTTGTATTTCTTCTTTACGTCACTCAATATCTTTCTGAATAGCCATAAAATACTAAGGCTGTGTTTTTCCTGACCAGATACAGCTCTTTATTTAATCCACGCAGCATGCCATACCATATTCATCATTTAAATTTTTTATTTATTAAATTATGCAAGTATTCAGTATTTAGGATTTTCACCATTTAAAATATTTCTATTGAGTTTCTTGTTGTTCATTCTTTATTTTTCATCTTTTACTTTCCTTTCTCCTCCTATGAAAATGCTGTTGTGACACAAACACTTCCCTAATGCGGAGCAATGAATGGATTTTCTATTTTTTTATTTTTCTTCTTTTGCTCTCCTTGTGACAGACACACAAGGCAGCTTCGAGCTGTTGTTTGTTTCTAACAAGTAAACAAACCTCATAAATAACACCCTGGATTGTTACATGGGGTAACAATCTGCTTTAAAGGCTATGATGTCTCCTGATGAGCTGATGGGAGCTCACGTGTAACAGAGGCCGTGAAGCTGCTGATTTACTGCGCAGCAGCCGCTGTCCTTGGTGCTGAAGCACGTCTGCAAACATCACGTCAGCCAGAAGAATCAGACATGAAAACACCAAAGTTCCTGCCAGCAAGAACAAACTCAAGAGTAAAAAAAATAAGTAATAACGATTCTGCACGGAGCGCAGTTTACCTGTCATGATTTCTTCAGCTGGGGAAAAAATAAAAAATAAAAATAACCCACGAAATGCGTCAGTGAATGCTATTAGTCATCAGCTGGTCGCTGGTTCGGAGTTTGAAGCGGAGTTTCTGCCACAGACATGAACGAAACCAGCCGCATTTCCTGTCTGGGAACAGCAGCCTCTGCAAGTCCGACCGAAGCGTCTCTGCTGCTGTCCCATCTCCTGTCTGAACGGAACCGAGCCATCGTCTCCTAAAACACGATTTAAAGGGGACAC